CGACGGGGAGCCCAAACGTAGGGGGCCCTCCAGCCCTGGGGATCCACCACCCGCGGCTCCCTTAGTTTGGGGGTGAATCAGGAACCGTCCACGTGCGTGGCAGGGACACGGCACAGGGCCAATGCGCTCCTCCGGGGCACTCTGCAGGCCGGGGGGCTGCGGGGGGTGGCCCCGGCGCCTGGGCTGTGCCCTGCACCCCCTCTGCCATGTCCTGCACCCCGTGTGCTCCCTGCATCCCCTGGGTCTTGCAATTCCCTGTGTCCTGCAACCTCTCCTGGGTCCTGCAACCTCACCCGTGCTCCCTGCACCTCCCGTGTCCCGCAGCCCTGCTCCATGCACTGCTGCACACTGCACAATTGCACCCTGCACTGCACTGCTGCTCCATGCACTGCTGCACACCGTGCAACTGCACCCTGCACTGCTACACCCACCATGCACTGCTGCTCCATGCACTGTGCTACTGCACCCTGCGCTACTGCACCCTGCACTGCACTGCTGCTCCATGCACTGCTGCACACTGCACAATTGCACCCTGCACTGCACTGCTGCTCCATGCACTGCTGCACACCGTGCAACTGCACCCTGCACTGCTACACCCACCATGCACTGCTGCTCCATGCACTGTGCTACTGCACCCTGCGCTACTGCACCCTGCACTGCACTGCTGCTCCATGCACTGCTGCACACTGCACAATTGCACCCTGCACTGCACTGCTGCTCCATGCACTGCTGCACACCGTGCAACTGCACCCTGCACTGCTACACCCACCATGCACTGCTGCTCCATGCACTGTGCTACTGCACCCTGCGCTACTGCACCCTGCACTGCACTGCTGCTCCATGCACTGCTGCACACTGCACAATTGCACCCTGCACTGCACTGCTGCTCCATGCACTGCTGCACACCGTGCAACTGCACCCTGCACTGCTACACCCACCATGCACTGCTGCTCCATGCACTGTGCTACTGCACCCTGCGCTACTGCACCCTGCACTGCACTGCTGCTCCATGCACTGCTGCACACTGCACAATTGCACCCTGCACTGCACTGCTGCTCCATGCACTGCTGCACACCGTGCAACTGCACCCTGCACTGCTACACCCACCATGCACTGCTGCTCCATGCACTGTGCTACTGCACCCTGCGCTACTGCACCCTGCACTGCACTGCTGCTCCATGCACTGCTGCACACTGCACAATTGCACCCTGCACTGCACTGCTGCTCCATGCACTGCTGCACACCGTGCAACTGCACCCTGCACTGCTACACCCACCATGCACTGCTGCTCCATGCACTGTGCTACTGCACCCTGCGCTACTGCACCCTGCACTGCACTGCTGCTCCATGCACTGCTGCACACTGCACAATTGCACCCTGCACTGCACTGCTGCTCCATGCACTGCTGCACACCGCGCAACTGCACCCTGCACTGCTACACCCACCATGCACTGCTGCTCCATGCACTGTGCTACTGCACCCTGCGCTACTGCACCATGCGCTACTGCACCCTGCACTGCACTGCTGCTCCATGCACTGCTGCACACTGCACAATTGCACCCTGCACTGCACTGCTGCTCCATGCACCGCTGCACACTGCACAACTGCACCCTGCACTGCTACACCCACCATGCACTGCTGCTCCATGCACCCTGTGCTGCTGCACCCCGCACTGCACTGCTGCTCCATGCACTGCTGCACACTGCACAATTGCACCCTGCACTGCGCTGCTGCTCCATGAACTGCACAACTGCACCCTGCACTGCACAACTGCACCCTATCCTACTGCACCGTGTCCTGCTGCACCCTGCACTGCCCCGGCACTGCCCCAGTCACTACCCGCTTTCACCCTGGCTGCCTCCTGTCCTGCGCTTCCATCCCTTCTGCCGTCCCACTGCTGCCTCTGGGAAGGAGGAATCGTTTGCATCCCCGTGCACCCCCCGATGCCAGGCCGGGGACTTCATGGGAAACACCAAACACCGGGAGATGTGAGAAAAATAATCCCCAAGGCTGGCGATGCAGGCGCTAAGGCCAACACACCCGAGGAGAGGGTTCCACAAGGACCAGCATTGCCATGGGAGGGTCTCCTGAAGGGGCAAGGGATCAGACCGTGACCTCGAGCAGCGCAGGCAGCGCAGGAGGTGTCACCACCCGACCTGCTCAACTCATGATTTGGGCCGGGTTTTGCTTCCCGCCGTGCCCACCCTCACCTCTCCATGTGCAGTGACCATGGTCCTGAGGACACCATGCATGGGACAAGCAGAAGCCACGTCCAGCTGCGGCGCCGGGCTGGGGCCAGGCAGGGAAACCCTGATGCCTGAACTTGTTTTTTCCCCGGAATGCTTTTTAGGAGAGAGAGATGCAGAAGATTATGGGAACAACCAGGTGGATGGTCTGCCCCATACCTGGCTCTGAAGGCTTTGGCAGCATCCGGTGCTCTCCAGAATAACTCTCCTTGCCACCGGCAGGCCTGATGGCATCTGTAAAATTGCTTGTGTCTTTGCAGGTCTGAGCTGCAAACATGGGCTTTGGAGCCAAAGGAGGAGTGGGACCATTTTACCATCCATTGCACGTGCGCACCAAGCCCCAAGGAAAGCTCCAGGAGGAACAGGGAGGATGAGGGGGGAATGTCCTCATTCCAGGCAATTAATGATCTAGGACACCAACTACAGGGTCTAAAGCAAACAGTGAGTGGCAGTCACTTCCCAGTGAACACATCTCCTGTCTGAGAATTGAAAACACACTCGAGAGCGTCCCGCGGTCTCGAATTCTTATTTAAGTACTCCTGGCATCTCTGTCCTTTCAGCACTCGCTTCAGTTGGCAACGCAGTGTTTTTCTTTCTTTTTTTAGAATATTCCTCTCGGGAGGCTCCAAGTTCTAAGCTGGAACCTGAGAACAGCGTGTTTGGAGAGCCTGATTACGCACTGGGGAGATGAAGGATAACATGGAGCGGGAAGGGTCTGGCTGAAAGTGCATGGACTGGGGCCAAAACCATTCGCGGTTTTCTGCTGCACGCACTAAACTTGTATTCTTGGAGCTGCTGCAAAACTGCAGCGAGCAGTGTGGAAGAGGTGCTGCTTTGCCTTATAGAGCACGGAAGATGAAGGGGGTACATGGAGGGGGTACATGCTACGTGCAGGAAGGAAAGCAAACTCCTGAGCGCAGTACGATTCCCTTGCATTGGCTTCCAAACACAGGCGGAACCTTTCTACGGGGGGTGAGAAGCTTGGTGTTTTAATTTCCCTGTTTTGCTTTGTTTTGAGTAAAAATAAACACTGCAGGTGCTGGTTGCTCTGGGCCCGGCTCTCCTCGGCGGCTCTAAGGGGTGGCAGTGCCAGGGCGGGTGTTTGCAGAGGGGCTGCACCAGGGCCGGAGCTCACCAGGTCACACAGCGAGGGGACCTGGCCCCTGGAGCCCTTCAGGAGCCCTTATTTCCACATTTCAGACAGTAAAGCTGAATGACATCTGCTCTCCTCCATGTGCCACCAACTTGCTCAGGGCTCACGCAGCCCTTGTGCTGGCTCTCTGTGGATGGTGGCATTTGCCCCGTGAAAGGCCACCTCAAAGGACAGGGGCACTTGCCCTGTGGAGGGAGGGAGAAGTGGGAAGGTTTAGCAGGAAACAGAGAGGAAGAAGTGAAAGAAAAACGAGTTTAAGTGAAGCAAGGAAGCAGCTGCATTGCTCTTATGAATATTCTGCATCCCTCCCTGACGTCAGCCATGGGCATGTGATTTAAAGTTAGAAAAGCAAAAAAAGGAAACAAAGAAATGATTGGAAAAATAGCTTGGAGGAGGAGGGTGATCAACAGCTAGGCCATCATTTGCCAATATATTTCTCCCTGGTCCGAGTGACATTGCTGTTTTGCCAAGCCAGAGCCTTGAGCTCTGAACAGCTCCAGTTGGCTACAGGTATCCACATAAACGGGCAATGCTGGTCAAGATGAGAGGCAGATGGAGATGGTGAGAGCTGCTGATGAAGGTCAGACCACCCCAACATGCCACGAAAGGACCCAGGGCAAGTAAGGCCAATGGTCTAAGTGTTTGTGTCATTTTGAACCCCTCGTGTCCAGGAGCTCATGGAGAAGGGTGGGAGATCAGCATGAAGAGAAATCCACCTCCTACTACATCGAGGGAGTTGCACCAGGGCACTGATTTTCTTCTAAGCCTTTGGGTCCTGAAATATCACCAAGAAATGCTGCAAGGTTTGGGGCCATTGGGGTGGATGGAGGTATTGCCAGACCTATCCCTGGGAGGGCACGGGCAGGGGCCATGGGGACTGTAAAGGTTTAATGCTCAGCCCACTGATGATGGCAGATGGGAGACAGGTTCTGGGGCAGGCACAGGAGGATGAATCCTGATTTTTTTTTTGTATTATTGTTGTTATATATTTTTCCAGAAAACTCCAAATAGCTCAGTTCCTAGGGGC